TTTTGTTGACGATCTAATCTTGTGTTGCAGAGCAGATAAGCTATCAATAAGCTTACTCATAAGTAGATTTCAACACTTTTCAGAGGTGTCTGGACTGAAAGCAAACATGGAGAAAAGGGCATTATACATTGCTGGAGTTCCAAGGGAATTCAAAGAAGAGGTTATTACAGAGATGCAATTTGTTGCAAGGGAGTTTCCATTCAAGTACCTAGGGGTTCCATTGTCTTCAAAGAAGTTATCTATCCAGCAGTGTATGCCATTAATTGAAAAGATTACTGCACGACTCAAATGCTGGTCAACCAAATTCCTATCTTACAGTGATCGAATGCAATTGATCAAGAGTGTGATATTTGAAATGCAGACCTATTGGGCACAGATTTTCTTACTTCCAAAAAAGATAACAAAGCTGATAGTGACTACTTGCAGAACATTCCTCTGGACTGGGAGCAGTGAATCTTCAAAAAGAGCACTGGTTGCTTGGGGATAAAATATGTATGCCACTTTCAGCTGGAGGTTTGAATGTAATTGATGTGGTGAATTGGAACAAATCTACTTTGTGTAAACTTCTTTGGGCAATAAATGACAACAAGGACAATCTTTAGATCCAATGGATACACAACTACTATATAAAAGGGAGGGATGTACTGACTGTGCAAGCTCCTAAACAGGCCTGCTGGCTAGTTAGGAAAACATTTGACACTTGAGATTGGCTAACTCAAAAGGATCCCTCGGCTAATTTGAACAAGTACTGCACTAAGGGGAAGTTTAGTATTAAGAAGCTATATGTGGCAACAATGCCCCAATATCCTAAGTGTCACTGGAAAAAGATAACAATTGATTCTAAAGCATTACCCAGGCATCAATTCATACTACGGTTGGCTATGCATAAAAAGCTAGCTACGATGGACAAATTAAGAAAATGGGGACTATCAATAGCAAGTGATTGCGTGCTATGTGAGAAAGATACTGAGGAGACAATGGAGCATCTATTTTTGAGTGTGATTACTCTAGGAAAATGTGGACAATACTGTTAAAATGGCTGGGAAAAAGACACCAAATAGGTAGCTGGAATGCTGAGATTGAATGGCTTGAAAAAAGGAGCTCATGCAGAGTTCGAGCACACATGCTAAGATTCCTATTTGCAGCTGTAGTGTATCATGTCTGGGCAAAAAGAAATCAACAAAGATTTCAAGAGAAGAAGATAGCAAGCCTTCAGAGGGTGAAGACTATTATTCTAGAGCTACATATACGAGGGCAGAAAGAGACCAAATGGTATAAGGAATTAGAAAGATCGAGCAACTATCCTACTTAGATATGTATAGATACATATAGCGATAGATAGTAGAGAAGTTGTAGTCGAGAGTCAGCGATTGTTTAGTCTATTTTTTTAGTTTTATTTTGAGACTAGTTCAAGAGTCCAAATGAGCTAGTAAGTTGTAAATATTATACTTGGTTAAATGAGAATTTTTGAGTTTGACCAAAAAAAAAAAAAGATAACACAATTCCCAACGTTAACTCTCCCATAGTATTTTCTACCACCCCTCCCCCACACCCACCACCAAAGCCGTCTCGAATCCTGCAGCAGTGTAATATACAGAGATGGATCTAGGATTTTAAGTTTATAAATTTCTATAATAATCTCAAGTTGTAATATATAATTTTAACCGAATCATAGATTAAGTTTCGAATTAAATATTATTACATTCAGTAAATTTTTAAATAAAATAAATGATCCAGGCAAAAGTTATTGGGTACACATAGATTATAATTAGGAGTGGCAAACGGGCGGGTCGGATATGCTTCGGGTCGAAAACGGGTAATTAAAAAATGGATCAATTATCCGACCCGACCCATATTTAATACGGATAAAAAACGGGTTAACCGGCCCATATTATCCATGACTTCTTGTATATGATCACTTTTGGGAGAATTCTTAGTCTCTCTAACTTGAGGAACCCCCAATTTGAGGCTTTACAAATGTAAAAGTTAGACCCATTGGTTATTCATTGGTTACTCATTGATTATCCATTTTCTAAATGGATAATATGGTTATTATCCATATTTGACCCGTTTTTAAAAAGATAATTATCCAACCCATTTTTTAGTGGATAATATGGGTGGTTAACTGGTTTCTTTTAACCATTTTACCGCCCCTAATTATAACGATTGCGCACCCCTGGTGGTAGGGGCCCGAGGTTGGTGGGTTAGGTCCTTTCTGTATATATTTCTTCACATGCACCCACCAAGACAGTTGCACTTAAGACATGCAGTATATGTTTTTATTGTTGCATTTTGGGCTGACTTAAATAAATGGATCAAAGTGCTGATCATCACACGGTTAAAATATTACAACTTGTATTAGTTAAATCGAACTTGTATTAGTTAAATCGAACTTGTATAAGTTTGCAATTTTCACATTTCATATTTTAGAGTTAGAATGAGATTATCAAATGGAGACTCAAGCAGATATCCCTATCCGAAATTATTTAATTTGTCACTCTATTCGTCTTTTACATGTCTTAAAATATTCATATTTAATTTCATGCTGGAAGCTTATACGTCTACTCTTGGATAGGAAAACATTTTCACAAGTTCCAAATTTGAATTGTTACCGTTATTTCTTACTTTTTTTGGTGCTAAATACTTAAAAAGGTACATTACTACAAACTCTTTAGGTGTTTTATTACACGTTAACATTATCACAAAGGGGTCTAAACTTAAGTTAGTTTTGAATATTAATTCAAATTAAGACGATAACTTTCAGATAGGATGAGAAGTTTGAATAGAAAGGGGAAAGGCGAGTAAAAAAAATGTTCTTTTGGAAGAATAAAATTAAGAAGATGATCACAAAAATTCTGTTAGTAGCTTTTACAAGTCCACAATTGTTGGAACATAAAATTTCCTCTGAGAAGAAAAAAGAACATAGAATTTCAAACTAGGTTGGACCGGCACTGCACATATTGCATATTGGTAAACTGTTAAAGCAATAGTTTTGATAGTTGAAATTTCAAGAAGTTAAAGATACATAGAAGTGCCGTGTTTGCTATTTTGTTAAAGCTGCTATGGCCATTTGAATAATCCTTAACAATGACATTAGATATTCTAATAATAACGAGATTGAGTAGAAATATTTTTTTAATTAAATACAAGAGGCAAAGAGAGAAGTGAAAAACCATGAACATAGATCAGTAATATATTTTCGAGAATAGCTCCGAATGATCAGACTATTAAGTCGTCAGTTACAATAGTCAATACCACAGGCACGCACACATACAGAGCGCACGTCCTTTAATTAAAAGCTCTTTGTGAAGTGTGTGTACTTATAGATAGGGGTGTACTTGGATCGGGCTGGTTAGGTTTTAATCGGGAGAAATTCAAAAATAGCCAGATTTACCACTGGTCGTTGAAAAATAGCCAAGTTTCAAAAGTCATCGAAATTTAGCCACTTTAAATCTGAGCGAAAACACTGTTCAAAATCCGAAAAAATACGCCCGCAAATTTTACGGGAGTTAGTAAAGTATACCGGTCCAGCATAATATGCTGGAGTTCGTACACAAATGCACCAGAACTCCCGTATATTATACTGGACCAGTCCCTGTTGCAGCAAAATAGTGGCTATTTTTCATTGACTTGATAAACGCTGGCTATTTTTCATTGACCAGTGTGAAAACTGGCTATACCATGATATTTTAACGTTTTAATCAAAACCAAACCAAACCAAATATATCGTTTGGATTGGTTTGGTTTTGTCGGATTTTTCGAGTTTTCGGGGTTTTTTGTTATGTGAATATTAATTCAATCTTGCTTTGATAAATTTTTTATAAGTAAATATATTGTTTAGTAAAAATTTTAAAAAAATAACAAATATATGATCTATTAAAACATTCTTATGGAAGAGTTTTCTTAGTAACACATGATAGTTATTTTTTAGCGGTCTAACAATAATTTTACGTTGATGTACACTTTCAAGGCTAACCGAATTTAATAATCAAACATAAAAATAAATATGAAACTATATAATAATATATTATATTTAATTTTAAATTATCGAAATACCATTTCAAGCTCGAATAACGAATATTTCTAGACATTTTTTAAAAAAAATTCTATAAAAAGTCTTAAAAGTATATAAAAATCATATATTTATATGTCGGTTTGGTTCGAGTTTTTTTACTCAATACCAAACCAAATCAAAACCAAACCTAATCGGTTTTTTTAATCGGTTTGGTTTGACTTTTCGGTTTAGTGCGGTTTTCCGGTTCGGGTTATACACCCCTACTTATAGAGGCAGATTCAGAATTTGCGGATTCAGGATTTTAAGGTGGGTGGGTTCAATCTTTAAGATTTAACATTGAACTCATTATATTTTAAATTTATAACTTCATATTTATTATTCCTTTCGGTCTACTTTAATTGATTTTTTGGTTGTTTTCACACATATTAAGGAATTTACCTTTTAGTATTAATTAACAATAAAATTGACCATATTAATCTTAATCTGTTCATTGAAAATACAACAAATACTCCTAGGCTCTATACTCCAACGGCAACTTTGAAAAATAGTAATTAATTCCTTCTTGATATTCGAAAAAATCAAACATTATGGACCACAAAAAAAATCAAAAAATCAATTAAAGTGGACCGAATGGAGTATTTATTTATAATTTCAATAAATTTTTATATATACATAATTTTATGCACCACATCAAAAATATTAGGCACAAATGAATCAAAGTAACTTAAATATGCATCCGCCCCTATGTACGTAGGTTGTAGGGTAAGTAAAGACTAAATAGTAGCAGTCGTATAGTATTTGGTGCGCTATATTAATATTACACTTCTCCGATCCGACCCCTCGCTATTATATCATATGCCTTTGAGTTGTCTTCCCTCTTATGGAGAGGATTCAATCTTCTTCCTTATAACCATCACCAATCTTTCTCTTAACTACTCGACCCCCCCCCCCCCCCCCCCCAAAAAAAAAAAATCTCTTTCTTATCTCTAGCAGTTTTTTTCTCCACCAAATTATATGTCTAAATTCATGCTCTCTCTATATTCATATAGATATATTTCTGATATTACATCCGTTACTAAATATCCACTCCTTACATATGGCTGGTCTTTGCTTGAACTATGCTAATATCACCTTCATTTTTGCTTATTCCCTTTTCTAGTTCCATTCTCTATAATATATCATCATCATTATTCTTGATTTAATGATTTCTCATTTATCGTTTTTTTCCTCCTCGTTACTAGTGATAGTAGTATAGTAGTATAGTACTAGTGCTATTAAATTTTTTTTTTTTGGTTGTCTTTACTATGGTAATTTCTCCATTCAGTAGTATTTAATATTGGTAGTTGTAGTAAAGGTCTGATCAGTAATTCTTGTTTGTGTCTGTCTTACACTATTCATGTGATGGGAATAGCTGAATTTCATCAGTTCCTCTTTCTTGAAACTAAGTACTTGTACTACTCCAAAGTTTATTCCGTTGTTGAGGGTTGTCAATAAAATATGAATATGGAGTACGGCAGCGGAGGTGGTGGAGGTGGCACCAGCAGCGGCGGCGGCGGTGGCGATCCCCACGACGCCGCCGAGCGGAGGAAGAAACGTTATCATCGTCACACTGCTAACCAAATTCAAAGGCTTGAATCGTAAGAAACTGTAATTTCATATATAGCCACAATACTAGCCATGCATTTGCAATTCTCACTACTCTTTTTCAATCTACAACTACTTCTTCTTATTTATTTATTTATTTTTTATGTTGGTAGTATTTTCAAAGAATGTCCTCATCCAGACGAGAAGACAAGATTGCAATTAAGCAGAGATTTAGGCTTAGCTCCTCGTCAGATTAAGTTTTGGTTCCAAAATAGAAGGACTCAAATGAAGGTTTGTTTCATCTTTCTCTTTTTTAAGTTTCTTTACTCTTTTAAGTGTTCTACTATTGTTTATTCGATTGAATTGTAGTTGCTTTAAATTTCTCATTGGATTTTAGGCTCAACATGAGAGAGCAGACAATTGTGCACTTAGAGCAGAAAATGATAAAATTCGATGTGAAAATATAGCAATCAGAGAAGCACTCAAGAATGTGATTTGCCCATCATGTGGAGGTCCTCCTGTTACTGAAGATTCATATTTTGATGAGCAAAAGTTGAGAATAGAAAACATGCAATTAAAAGAAGAGGTCCATTTAATTTTTTCCCTCATTTAATCTTCTTTAAATTCAATTCAGACCTTCCCTTTAATCTTATTCTGTTCTATATATCCCTATTATTTGATGTATTCATTCATTTCATTTATTTCTTTTGACATGCAGCTTGATAAAGTATCTAGTATTGCTGCTAAATATATAGGGAGGCCTATTTCACAACTCCCACCAGTGCAACCTATTCATCTATCTTCACTAGATTTGTCTATGTCTAGTTTTGTTGGCCATGGCCCTAATTCCCTCGATCTTGATCTCGATCTTCTACCTGGAAGTTCATCGACTATTCCGGGTTTAGCCTTCGCCTCGTTGAATTTATCGGACATGGATAAGTCCCTTATGGCTGATATTGCTGGGAATGCAATGGAGGAACTCATTAGATTGGTGCAAACCAATGAACCTTTGTGGATGAAGTCGGCTATTGATGGCAAAGATGTACTTAATTTCGAGAACTATGATCGGATATTCCCAAGGGCTAATAGTCATTTAAAAAACCACAATGTTCGGATTGAGGCTTCCAGGGATTCAGGTGTTGTTATTATGAATGGTTTAGCATTGGTCGATATGTTTATGGACGCGGTTAGTTAACTTGTTGTCCAACTTTCTGTTATTGTTCTGTTGCATATATATAGAAAATGTTGAGTTTAAGACTGCTACTGATCTTCTTTTTCTTTTACATATATGGTAGAATAAATGGCAGGAATTCTTTCCTACAATTGTTTCAAAGGCTAGGACGCTTGAAGTAATATCATCTGGTGTGATGGGAAGCCGAATGAGTACATTGCAATTGGTAAAGAAAACTAACAGACTTAATAAAGATGGATTAGTCTTTTTTCCTTGAAATATATCTAATTTTCTAAAGGCTGAAAATTGACTGATGCGCGCTACATGCAGATGTATGAAGAATTGCAAGTGCTTTCGCCATTGGTTCCAACGCGACAATTGTATTTCCTAAGGTTTTGCCAGCAGATTGACCAAGGCTCGTGGGCAATAGTTGATGTTTCTTATGATATAACTCAAGAAAATCTGTATTCGTCGACTTCTTGCAAGGTTCATAGGCTTCCATCAGGATGCTTGATTCAAGATATGCCCAATGGTTATTCCAAGGTTATCCAAATGGCTCTACTAATCATAATTATTGTGATTAAGCTCTACATTTGCAATTTAATACATGAGATTTCTGACCTTTTTTTGTCTTTCAAAATAGGTTACTTGGGTGGAACATGTAGAAGTGGAAGAGAAAGGTATAATTCATAGGCTATGTAGAGATCTTATACACAGTGGGTTGGCGTTTGGAGCAGAAAGATGGATTGGCACTCTTCAAAGGGTTTGTGAAAGATATGCTTGTCTCATGGTTAATAGCAACCCTACTCATGACCTTGGTGGAGGTAACTTAAATTGAAATTCGTGTTTTTCAATAGTTCGTATTCGTCCAACTACTAGCAATTAGAAAAATTGAAGTGCTCGATTAATATGTCACGTTTTGGTGGCAGTAATTCCATCACCCGAAGGGAAGAGGAGCATGATGAAACTGGCAAAAAGAATGGTGAGCAATTTCTGTGCCAGCATAAATCCGTCTAATGGACATCAATGGAACACAATTTCTGGATTGAATGAGTTTGAAGTCAGAGCTACCCTTCAGAAGAGCACCGATCCTGGCCAGCCCAATGGTGTAATCATTAGTGCAGCCACCACCATTTGGCTGCCAGTTCCTCCACAAAATGTCTTCAATTTCTTCAGGGATGAACGGACTCGACCCCAGGTCTGTGCAAATTGACCATGCTTCTAGATTTAGATATAGTACAATGTAGATTCTTTTGACTTTGCGCAGGGGGGAAATGAATATCTTTCGTTTGATTTCTGTTTCGATTTACTATTATCCTAACCTGATGTAAATTGGGATAACTTGGTGCATGATAACTAAATTTATCTTTTCTGTTAATCTGAAATACATTCTTGGTTAGAGAAATTCATTTGTTTTTATGTTCACAGTGGGATGTCCTTTCCAACCAAAATCCAGTGCAAGAAGTAGCTCATATTGCAAATGGCTCTCATCCAGGGAACTGCATTTCAGTGCTGCGGGTAACTTGATGAAACCATACTAAACATATATTCTTAGTAAAAAGTTTTTTCTTTATTTTATGTTGAAAATGACACAATTTGATAATGAGGAGAATGTTACATTTTTGCAGGCCTATAACACTAGCCAGAACAACATGTTAATACTCCAAGAAAGTTGCATAGACTCATCAGGGGCACTAGTGGTGTATAGTCCAGTCGATGTACCGGCTATCAACATAGCGATGAGCGGTGAGGACCCCACATATATCCCATTACTACCCTCGGGGTTCACGATATCGCCAGATGGCCATCAACTAGACCAAGATGCAGCATCATGCAGCAGCAGCAGCTCAAATGCAAGTACTATAGGAGGCAGGTCAGGGGGTTCACTTATAACAGTAGTGTTCCAAATTCTAGTAAGCAGCTTGCCATCAGCTAAAATGAGTCCTGAATCAGTAAACACTGTGAATAACCTTATAGGTAGCACTGTTCACCAAATTAAAGCTGCCTTGAATTGCTCCACTTCTTGATCCAAATTTGAAATCAGTTCAGCTACTTAAATTACCTCTGCTTCTGCTTCTGCTTCTGTTTGGAGGTAGTTGGGAATTTTCAATGCTTCTTCATCAATACTCCTGAGTATCTGACTCAATGTCACTGTGTCCATATGCTTCCTCCCCTCTGCCACTGTTACTCATCCTGTCACAGTTTTATTACATTTCACAACTCATAATCTTTTTTTATTTTTATTTTTTGGGGGGTTGGTTAGCATTTTTTTTTCCCTTTTAAAGTTGTGGTATCTTCATTTTGCTTAAAAGAGGAAGTCAAGAACGCACCATACAAGAAAATTCTTGGTAAGAAGTGTCTATCATTATAGTGTGTTAAGGCAAGAAAAATTGTATGGTTCGGGTATTGACTTCTGTACTTGAACTTTTCTTTCATCAATCTAATGGAAGTATGTTTGATTTTCTTTTTTCTTCTAATAAATAGAATTTAATTTCTTAGTGTATCAATATTCTTGTTTACATTTCTATTCTTTTTATCTACATGTACATTGTATTTAAGATTGTGGTCCAAAGTGGGAGAATAAAGACCATCTTGGCCATGAGTTGAAAGTCCTGAAGGGTGGGGGCCAAAACAATGACATAATAAGAAAACTTGTTTATTAAGAGGGCCTCTATTCTCAACTGTTTTACATTGTGGTTAGAAACTGTACTATGCTGTATAGAGAACAGCATAAAAAATCTAACCTCATCATACTGATCAAACTTCTTGATGTGGACAAGGTCTTACGTGGTGTGAATTCATATTAGTCGGACCTTAATACAGATACGGAATACCGAGTGAAAAACCCAAAAAACATTAAACTTCTTGATAGAAAATCAAATGCTTGTGTGAACAAGGTAGTCCCTTTTTAGGCCCAAGGGAATCGGGGGCCACAGGGGCGGAGGCAGAAGCCATGCTACGGGTTTGGCCGAACTCAATAACTTATGCTCAAACAATATATTTTGTGTTAAGAAATTTCTAAAATTTGTGCTTATATTAAATTTAGGACCCAGTCATTAGTACTTGAAGTCGTCGTTCTAAAATTCAGAACTCATAAACTTAAAATCCTGGCTCCGCTTCTGGGCGGACATTTTTATTCTCAGGTTTAAGATGAACTTGACCATTACACAATTGAATGCTGCTTGTGCCTACAAATTGTGGGATATCGTTGGAAGTGACACTTCATTTTTGTCAAATTAAATTTTGCTGATAAAAAAAGTGTCCACGATTGAGAACGATTAGGAGAATACGATATCCCAAATAATTCCTAACTAATCTTTGTCCCAAAAGGAACAAAATATGGAGATTTGCATTCATCTGTTTGGATGCATAACTCCACATCACTGTCTTCAGATATGTGCTAAAATAAAATTGGGCAAGTAAGTGACCAGGAGACCATAAATTGAATAATACATGTGCATATCCACATATGAAAATAGTTTATATTCTAAATAGTATCACAATCATAATAGGACACTAGAGCTCTTCTATATGCTTTAGAAATGTAAAATTTTGTTTAATATATGGTTGAATCACAAATCCACAAAAAACTTAATGAACAACAAGAGATTTGACACCTTACAAATTATTTCTACGTATTTAACGAGACTACGTCTTGAAAAGGAAAGCCACACGATTTGGTCAAAAAAATAGGCTACAAAGGGAAAGGAGACAGTGTAGCATGAGGACCTCCTCTATGCACCTATGTTGGAAAATGTAGTGAATTAAGTAATTAAAGACCCTAGCAAAGCATTTTAAGTGTGAGAATGAACTATTTAATTACCCACCGGATAATTAACTAGCACCATACATTGAAATAGCAAAGGTTAACATCTTATTTATTTTAAATAAATACCATTTGAAAAATTATATTGTATAGATACCTTTTAATGTTTATAGCAAAATATCTAATTTTGGTTACCTCCTAACCCTAAGCCACTAAATACGCTATTCAGTTCCACTATTTTCTTTCTCTCTCTACTTTGATTATGCCATTCTCTTCCCCCATTCCCTGAAAACACGATGCTCAATCTCAAAATTCCTCTCACCCACATCACCTACCATTAGTCACAAGCGGTGATTTTGCTTGGTATACCACGAAGACTTCTCTAACTTTTCCCCTCAAATTTGTGCAACCCAAATAGAATCCAAAGGAGATGAAGCCACCGTATTTGTATGATTTTTGCTCGGCTACTGTACAGGATGCGTGGGAACAGTGTATGATTTTTTCTAGATGGAATCCAAAGGAGATGAAGTGTATGAATAACGTGGGAACAATGTATGAATTTTGTGCAGCCCAAATGGAATCCAAAGGAGATGAAGCCAACAAAAATTTGCATGATTTTCAATACAAGATTCAAGCTTTAACGTCTTGCCATGATTTTTGCTCGGCTACTGTACAGGATGCGTGGGAACAGTGAGATTCAGGGTTTTTGCTCGACGGCGGATTCGCCGGAAATTAGGGTTTGTTCTTGAACAAAGATGACGGATTTTGAGGCAGAGCAACTTGATTTTCTGTTAATATATTTCAATGTATTTTCAACGTATCACGCTGTATTTTCATGTATTTCATTGTATTCATTGTCTTTTTTTTTCATTGTAATTCATTGTATCTCGCTGTATTCCATGTATTTCATTGTATTCAATGTCTTTTTTTCCATTGTATTTCAATGTATCCCGCTGTATTCTATGTATTTCATTGTATTCACTGTCTCACTATATGCCATGAATGTATTCATATATTTTTTTAATTAATATACTTTATGTATTCAGATGTATTATATAATTTCTCTAAAGATTGCTATGTTATTGGGGTATTTTTCGGTTGAGAATCTTTTTTATAACTGGAAATACAAATTTGTGTGTTATAATTGAGTTTGTTGAGTTATTTTAGGAGTCTATTATGTTAATTGATTCACTTTCCGTTTAAAAATAGTGTAATCCCCTGTTTTACGCCGTGAATACAGTCGAATACAGTCGAATGCAATAATCTGTCCAGCTGTAATCCCATGTTTAACGCCATGAATACAGTCGAATACACTCGAATACAACAACTGATTAGCTGGACTTCCCTGATACACGCCTATTTTTGCTACTGTATTCATGAATACAGTAGCTTAAATAAATCTAATACATCTTATAACAACAGAAAACGTATCTACAATCCGTAATATAGTAAATGGTATCTATAGATAGCTAATTACCACTAAAAGATAGCGCTTTATAAAAATATCCTGCTCCTATAGCCCTGAGCACGTAAGTGCGCATTTAATCACGCTTTATTTACACAAACATCCTTTTTAATTATAAAATACAAAAAAATTTCTAACCAGGTTCAATGGATGTATACCCATTACACAAGTTCTCTCTTTTTCATCAAGCACATATTTCTCCCCCCCCTCCCCCCCAAATGACCATGCATGCTAGCTTTGAGGCGAGGGTCTATCAAAAACAATTTTTCTATCGTATAAAGGCAAGGGTAAGGCTGCTTACTCGCTACGCTTTTTAAATCTCACATGTGAGACTACACTGGATATGTTATTGTTGAAGTGACTATGATCATAGACTTTATGGAAATTAATGATTTTGTTCCAGCGGAGGCAAAAGAAATATTACTTGATTTCTTCTTATCTGCCTAAGTTTTAATAGACAAAACTACTCGATATATATATCGGTGGTAGATAACCGATATTCCATGAAATTGAGATTGCGCAAGTTGCGCCGAATACCACCGTCATTAATTAAAATTTAGGCAAGAAAGATAGCTGAAGCATGTCAGCTAATTAAAGAAAGCTCATATCACTCGCTAGAAGTATTAAATTTTCAAGAAACACAACGAAGTCCCACGCTAGGACCAATTTTAAGAAAATATTTGACTAGGTATGTATGCAAAGAATAAAAATTAAAAGCTTAATTCATGCAACTATGCAAGGTCCTGTAATATTTTTCTGAATAACTACTTCATAAAAGATAGAAAGTTCAAGTACAAAAGGACTGGAAGCCTCTAAAGCCAAGTGACAATTAAGATATTTGATGTGCCATTTTGATGACTTGCCTTAATTCAGAAATAATAATTTCGCCTCGTGCAGATTCGAATAGATATATTTGTTTGTCTATGCGGTACTCCACTTCTTATGGGAATATCATCTCGTTAAAATAAAATAGGAATAAAATAAAGATAGAAAGCCTTTTCATGTTATTTTCCGAGTTAGAAAGGAAAAGAAGAACATCGGCACAAATATACTTGTTCATATCTGTTTACCTCGAAATACGAGTAACAATTAAATTTGTAATATGGTTATAAGGATACGTGATCTGATTCAACGCCAATTAATAAATGACTAGATAAATAAATTAATTAAATGATTAAGATGAATCAAACCAGTATAGTTGCAAGCTATCGTCCTCTATTGGAACATGCTCAAGATCAAGCGTTAAGAACAATAAGAATAATAGAAAGTTATAAGCAAGTAAAAGAGCAGTGTATTGTTATTTCTTAGTCAGTCTCTCTTTACAAATGAATAGGATTCCTCTTTATATAGTAGAGGAATCCTAAATGAGGTATAATTCTAATTTCGGAAGTAAAATCCATGATTGGTATCAATAACCGTCAGTGGTTCTGTCGGTTCCGAGATTCAAGCCATGATCATCGACCAATCATGGATATCTTGCTCTTTCCGTTACTAATCTATCCCCGATGTTACTCGACGTCTATCTCCCCTGGCTTCGATTGATACTAACCTCGATCTCGAAAGAGACTTCAATCTCGACCTCGATGCCTTAGCTCTTTGATGCAATGTCCTTGTTTTGGTTAGATAGTGAAATCAGATAGCCCCGATTTCTACCGTATACAGATAGTCCCCTCCCCCCCCCCCCCCCATTTTTTGGAGTGTAATGACAAGAAACGAATTGAGTCTTCGAGCTTCTTTGCTTGTTCTTCCCGAAATACCAAATATTCCAATCTCCATTTTTCCTTGCTCACGAAAACAAAATGGCCAAAACATCTAAAACTGTTCTGCAAAAGGAACCGCTCAGGTTCGGGCTAAGGAGCGCACAAAGTGTCGGTCTCAGAGGGAGACCTTTGAAGAAATCCATACTCGAGGCTTTGTTTTTTCGACCGAGATCGATGGACCCCGAATGACCATTTGAACTAGAGTTTGAGTAGCTCTTAGGCTTAACAGTCGAGTGAGGATTTGCTTGAACTAGAAGTAAAGTTAGCCCTTAGGCTTTATAGATAGTCCCCGAGTGAGTGTTTGCTCGAACTCGGGTTAAGATAGCCCTTGGGATTTTATGATCGAGTGAGGATTTGCTCGAACTCGAAGTAAAGTTAGCCCTTAGGCTTTATAGATAGTCCCCGAGTGTAGAGTTTGCTCGAACTCGGGTTAAGATAGACCTTGGGATTTCGATTTGTTACGGATTTCGTAT